AGAAATGGGTTCAGATGGTGAGAAACTCGGTCCCAATTCTAATAACGAGCGCGCACCGTCAGGGAGAGTCATGCCTCCTAACACGGTTAGCCTTGAGTTTTCTTGCAAATTACTTATCCTACTGTGAAACTATTTGGTATCTTTTCTGCGCCTACACGATTCAATCGTACATAATATTTCAATTTTTTGACCACTAACTGATGATTCATTCCTTCATCACTATGGAGAAGATGAATATTATGGAAACGGTGGGTATAAACTTCGAGAAAGATGCCGAAAGATCCTCAAATACCAGGCAAAACCGCACGAAAAACTGAAAGCCCCGTGTTAAAATAGTGACCGGATTTTTTTTCATTGAGTTAGGTATAACCCGGAAACATGAAAGCATTCATAGAAAGCGTATTGGATGCTTAGAACTTTAAAACACACAGAAAAAATGAGACGGAAGCATGTGACAGAGAGAAAACTATGAGTAATTGAATCAAAAGATCGACTTTCTATTAACCTCGCCACAAATAGTTGACATATTTATTTATATGATCGTATAAACTGATCTTGTTGAGCGAATGTGAGGTTGCTATAGGTCTTCGTTGTTGTTGTCGTTGCTGGCCGTGTTGTAGTTCGATCGCCGACTTCGCCTTCTTCAAAGCCTGGGCGCATTCTACACATTATACTTGAATGATTCGGTGGAAAAAAGCTAAAATGTAAATGAAGACCAAACTTTCAAATAGACGCCATTGCTGTTATGAGTGGGACTGCCTGAGTGCTGTTCACATAGGACGACGAGCAAGTTCCACTCAGGTCAAAAAATCATTTTGAAATAAAGCGGCATATCACATGTGATAGTGAGGTATTCGTCTTCCCGGTTCATCTTTGGATGTTTAAAATTTATCCAAAACGTCTCGAGAGTCTCGCGCACTGATGCTTTCGATTCCTGCTCGAGGATCCGCACAGTCACTTCAGAATTATCGCCATTGTGCTTTTGTGCCCTATGTGTGCCTAGAGAAGTGCTTTAACGGAGTTTAACTTTTCAATCTGGGTGTTCCTTTATGCGTACACAAAGCGGTTTACACGTTTCCGCAATATATTCCTCACCGCATGCGTTACACGAGATCAAGTATATTGTACCTGAACTCATGCAATCCCCGTCTCTCCCCTTAGGTCGTACAGTTTTCTGAGCTACACAAAAATCATAGAGGTGGTTGCGAACTAACTAACACCATAGGGTATTGGGTGGGATGTCAATAATCGTTACATAATTTTCAAGACCACTTTTTCTTAAGCACTTTTTAATGGCGTGACTTACTTCATTTGATATGAAGGGCAGCTTAAAGGGATCCTACTTTCGTCTGAAATATTATTTTAGGAAGCTATCCAACGTTCTCCTCCAACCCGAGTGGCTTCTACTTCGTAGCCATTGGAAATGGCTATTTTTCGTGCCAGGCTTAGCGACGCCTTCCATTTCTCTTCTCCTGTGCACGCATTTTTAGCCGTACTGTACGTGTTCTTGGTGTTTTTTCATGTGTGAAGTATGAGAGGAGAAGTAATGAACTAGTATGTTTTTACTACTTGGTTTACGATGCTATTCTGTTATATAGCCGCTTTCTGAAAGCATTCCTTGAATGTTTAAGAATGGAAGCCAGTTCTGGGTTGGTTTTTTGTGAATTTTATATACTCTGACTGCTTATTTAACAATGCAAAGCACTCATCCATCCGTTCATGTGTGGAACAGACGAAGAAGGAATCGCCTATGTAACGACAACAGAATAAGGGTCAGCGATCGAGAACTGGAGCTTCCACATTAGCCATGAAAGCGACGGCAAGGCTTGCTGCTAAACGCTGTCCCATGGCCTACTCTCTAATTTGCGCGAAATTTTGCATTGCAAGAGCTGAGGCACGGTATACTTGATCTCATGTAACGCATGAGGTGAGGAATATATTGGGGAAATGGGTAGACCGCTTAATGTCCGCATAAAAGAACACCTAGATGTGAAAGTCTAAATTTGTCAAAGCACTTCTCTAGGTACACATAGGACACAAGAGCACAATGGCGATGATTTTGAAGTGACTGTACAGATCCTAGCGCAGGAATCGAGAACATCAACGCGCAAATCTCTTGAGACGTCTTGGACGAATTTCAAAAATTCAAAGATGAACCGGAAAGACGAATGCCTCACTGTCACACGTGACCTGGCGCCTTATTTCAAAATGATTTCTTAACCCCAGGGTGGTTCTCGCTCGTCGTCTCACGTGAACAACACTCAGGCAGTGCCACTCATAACAGCTCGGCCAGTAGCCTTTCTGACCAATATGGCGTCTATTTAAAAGTTTGATTTTCATTAATATTTTAGCCTTTTTCACCGAATAATTAAAGTTTTATTGTATAAATACGTCCAGGCTCTGAGGAGTGAGGAGGGCGAAATCGCCGAAATGTCGACGATGGACCAACAACACCAACGGCAACGACAACAACGACAACGAAAACCTATAGCAACCTCGCATTGCCTCAACAAGATCAGTCTATACGATCAAATAAATAAGTATACAAGTAATCGGTGAGCCGTATTGCTGGTTGGGTTGGCAACACAAACAATACATAATGCCTTCGATGAGCGCTGAAATCGCGCTACATTAAAGCATATCTCGGTGCGTCGGCCACTCGAAATTCGGCGTTGTCGCGAAAGGGCTAACGAACGCTGTTCATGTCTAATGTCAACGTTCGTTGAGCAAAATTCGAATTCCATCGTGATCTTTTACCGAAGTGGTGGTTAAGTAGAGATGATCCGAGAGTTCAATGAGTAGGTGGAGACATTAGATATGAAAACAGAAATAGCTGAGAGACGTGCGAAACAAAGGACCCGCATGGTGTGGTGGTGAACGCGTCACTCCCCGGAAAGGACAATAGCGCGTTCGTTCCCCACCATAGACACTTGCGGTCCAGAGTTTTGCAAACATCTCAGCAACGTTGTGGTTGTATCTCAGTATTATTCTACACAATGTCCTAACGATTAAAAAAAGCGTCAAAGACAAAATACGAAGATCTGCTTGATTCAAGCAGAAATGAACAACTGTGGTAGTGTTCTTTTCGTACATGTTAAAATCAATTCTTGATGTATTATAGTAAAGTTGGAACCAATATGACTACTGCTCTGAAGGCTTTTTCAGAAAGGAAGACTCGTAGGCTTTTGATGAAAGCATGTTATACAGAAAACCTCGAAATTATGAAGGGTTAGTAACGGGACGATTAGAACCTTATCACAGCACCTTTCAGTTATTAAGCGGTCAGTTAAAATACTGCAACAATGTTTCTCAATACTTCGCACAAGTATTACATGAGTTTCAGGATAAAATCTATATCCTATAAATCTCCATAAATAACTCGCTCGAAAACCATATCTAGTTCTGAAGTCACGTTTAGGTCTACCTTGGTCAATGCATAACACCCGACACGGGTTGAATGTACAAGTGGTGAGGGAAATGTGTCCTCTCTCTCAATTCAAAATATCTAAATATCTATATAACATTACGCTTTCATGTGAATTCTGTGCGGTTGGTCTACACACGACACACTCAGTGGAAGACTCATAGAAAGCGGCTCTGAGGAAGGCGGAATCCGCCGAAACGTCAGCTTTTACGTGAGTGGAGAAGTGGAATAGCACCTCGTTTTGCTGAGCGGAAGTGGAAAGAATTGTTCAATCAACGCCGAGGTTAATAGAAAGTCGGACGTGGGAGTCACTTCAAAATATCTAAGTTCTTCATATCGAGCTTTACTAACCAGAGTAAAAACCATTTACGTCCATAAACCATTGCCTACGACTAATCAGGACTGAAATACGAATTCCCGATATCCGACGATAAATTTTCGACCGATATATATTTGTTTTTCTTCATCTTTCTTGTTTGTTATTATTTATACCATTAGAGAAATTAAGAAATTCATAGACTTGTGGAAGAGAATTTGCTCCTTCACTTCAATCGTATTGATTGTTCTTGCAAAATATTCACTTAATAATAAATCAGTTTTGAATCAAAAACCTCAAAAAAATTAGGAAAAAGCTTACGATTTTAAAATTCGAACGCAATCGCAAACAAAGGCAGTATACCGGGAACACTACTGTATCCGAGGAAGCGAAATCCCAGTCTTTCCAATGCTTTGTGTTCGAAGGTCGAATTTTGACGCGTAAAAAGAAAGTTAAAAAAAACGTCACGATATATTTCGTAGGCGAAACTTTGTTAAATTCTAACATTTCTTGTTTCAAATAAGAAAATTCAATATAATCCGCGGTATGATGAAGTCGAAATCAGGAAGCAAATCACCATAAAATGCATTTCAATCGAGGGGTGAAAGAAACAACGAGTCATCCAACAAAATAGTTTTCGAATTGTAACATGTTCTTTGAAATTCAACCCCTATGAAGAATCACAGCTATCATATGGAATGGGCAGATATAAAACATCCCAACACTATGCATATTGGTATATGTGCTACCAAACTAATACCATCTGTTTGATCGGTGGATGTGAGCTTTTTCATCACACGTTTCAAAGTGAGTTCAAGTGTTCCAAAAATATGAGAAACTTCAAGGAGGAACAAAGAAGAAAGAATTGCTAGCAAAAGTGGCAGCACCAATTACTGGCAGATGGGAGAAAATCGCCCGATATAAGCCGAAATACGAGATTTTCGAAATTCTACACCTGTTGTGGTTTGAAGATTTCTCTATTCGCCCATTATACGGACACTTGAAATTTGTTGCGTAAAGACCTGGAGCTACGAAAATGTCGTCGCAAAACTTTATGTTTCCTTTGACTCATTTCCTATCCACGAGTGTGTCACTTAAGCACTTAACTAACTGACGCCTATAGTTCGATTTCTTAATAAGGAAGATCCATGTATGGAAAGTCATGTGTCCAAGGCAATTTACTCAAATATTATCTAACAAACAAAACTGAGTTAAAAACAGTTCGATTCTAAAGGTAATGCAGATACTAAAAGCACTAACCTAACTCCAATCACTTTCTGAACTGTGATGCGCGCCTCAACCACTACTCGATCACCTTTCACATATCCTTTTTCAGCGTTCAAAATATCTCCCCATTCCATGAACGACGGAAATCCCCAGTTATTCGAATTGAAATTGAATTTGTTTGTAAACTAAAATTCAAACAATGGTAGTGAGAAACTAAGAAGAAGTCGAAGCAATGCAATGCATAAATTTAGGAGAACCGTTTTACTCAGTGGAGTTCTTACATGAAAACAGAACCATACCACACGAAATTCCTAGAACAAAAGCAAAGAAAATATGGGCTACCTTAATACGAGTGTTGAGCAAAGCGTGAATTATTCCAATATGTTACTGAAATTCAATTATCACTTAAGTTTGCAAAATATTCGCACCTGTCGTGAGAAATGGGGAATATCGGGACGCTGTGATAAGAGACGGAATTCCACTACAGCGTCACAAGACCATAATGTGCTTTCGCTCTCTGGATTACAATCAATATATACGGAGAAGAACTTCACATTCGATGTTCGCTTCGTACATTCAGTCTTTGCCGCCAACCGCCTAAAATACGATCAAAACTTCTTCTTGTTCGGAAAAAAAATAACCACAAAGAGCGTTGCTCGAATTACGCGAAGGCTAAATGTCGCGAAAGACCTCCAATACTGGAGATGAAACAACCGTTCAAAAAAAAATCGCGAAGATGCCAATGATAGAAACCCAGTAACGTTCTCTGTAGCCAGGAAAGCAGTGGGTTGTTTCACATTAACATGAAAAGTACAAAAAAATACCGATTATACTAAATGTGAAAACAAAAAAACTTAGGGATCTTCTTAAGCCATTTGTTAATTGGAAAATGTTGAAATTCCACTTTAAAAAGGTGAAGAAATTAAGGATTGGCCCACCATGGTAGATTAGCGATATGATGGAATGATGTATTGACTTTAGCACGAAGATTGGAAAGGTTCGGAATATTCAACTTGATCGAGCCTTCAGTTTTACTCTCTAAACGTGATATCAAACTGATTTCATGCGGAAGAACAAAAATGTCTATATGTAAAAAACAAATGAAGATAGGGGCTGGCTAAAATTCCACTTGGTTTTACTTCTTAAAACATTTTGTAGGTTCTAGGAAGCATAGCGAAGAGTATTGCAGTTTTGTTCAAGAAAAATGACTGTTGAAAAAAGGATTATAAAGGAATTCGATAGGCAGTGAATATCCATATATATATATATATATATATATACATATATATGCATATATATGTGTATATAAGCATGTATATCTATATGTATGTATATATTGATGTAGATATACGTATGTGTACATATATAAACGAATGCGTATATAACTATATACATATACATACATGTATACGTGCATAAATACATGTGTATATATACATGTTTATATACGAACACATGTGCATACAAATGCACATGTATATACACATACATATAACGTACATATACACATATATATATGTATATATATAGACATATGTATGCACGTAGTATATGTGCAAATGCGTATGTGTATGTACAGATATATACATATAGATGTATCTATGTACGTATATGTAGATAAGTACATACATGCATATACAAAGTGGTTCAGAGTTCTCAGGACTAATCAGTCATTTTTTTCCCCTTTGATTTCTAGAAAGCACAGAAGGTTAGGCCAAAAGTCATCCGAAACAGAAAAAAGTTCCAAACCTAATCGAGCAAAGTTGTTGGTGGTCATGTCTTCAAGGGACCGTGTAAACTCAGATCCACAATCTGAGGTTGTGGTGGCTCGTTGATTGGTGCCTGTTCCAGCCCCAGATGCTGAGTTGGCATTCGCTGGTATACCTCCAGACAGGTTAGAAGAAGCTAGGAAAAAATGAATAAAGGAAAATTAGATCTGAAAACAACGCCTCTAAACAGAAAAAGAACTTGCCGGCGAAGAGTCGCTTCGGCACTCCAGAAAAAGAAGGGACAGCAGAATCTGCACTCGACAGCTCTAACACTGGGCTCGCATTTTGCGAACGTGAACACTGAAAAAATTCCTCAAAATTTTGCCTTTAACGCCCACATAAAGTTTAGAGTGTAAGCTTTAGATTACTTGATACTTGAATGGCCAGTCCTCAGTGGTTGGGCAGGTCCCAGAATAATCACCATTTTTCGGAGATTTGCTGGTTAAGCCATTGTGGTTCTCTGGAATCCCGCTGTCAGCCTGACTAAAGTCTGCCCCAGGTCTTCATAACTACAGTCAGTCCCAGCCCTTGTGGATCAGAGGGAGACTTGCTACCATGCGACTATGATACCAGGACGGTGGTGTATCTTGGTATCGGTTTACTGTTAGCTAGGCTTCCTGATGGAAACGCCAGACTCCTTCTCAGCTGGGGAAACCCTGCCAGGGGATGAGTCCCCCGCTGTACATCGCAGTCCGACACCCAGGAAGACCTCCCAGCCACGATGAGGCGGTAAGCCGTTGGGAGGAGCCTCAGATTACTGTTTTTAACATGAACAGAATTCCATGAGTTAGACCAAAAAGCGAAAATACGATAAAAAACTGCTCATCGAGAAACGAAAAACAAGTTCGAAGAAATACCACTTTTGCGGAAACAGTGGTCCGCTATTAGGCCTGCTGAACGGTGTTAGGATCTAAAAATCTCTCTCCATTTGACCTTGGTATGGATAATTAACATTCCGGTCTATTGACGGGCACACACGAGGAAATCACGACGTCTAATAGCGGATGCCGTTTCGAGACTATCGCTTTCATCAGAATCGTTATGATTTGAGTCGAGTAGGTCGTATTAAGATTTCGCTTTGTTTTCGGATATGAACAGCTCGGGTAGTGACGAAAGTCTCGGAAGAATTATAACATAAAAACTTAAAACACTAACAAACAGCAACACACCTGCCGAGCTGATGTCGCAGAACTTGGACCCGGCCCGGCACCACCGGCAGGAGACCTGCCCGAGCGCCGACCAGGAGACTCTTCCAGGCACTCATCCTGCTCACTCATGTCACCCATCGGAAACCTATGGAAACCACATGGTGTTCGAGAGAAGAAAAAAGTACATTCAACACAAAAGACATACAAAGGAAGACATGTACAATAAGAAGAAAACAGGAAAGTATTGTGCTACCAACGACTTCAGGGTTTCTTAAAGCATACACAACACATTTAAAAACCACCAGCCTCTACTTGAGTATCTCACCTTCACCTTGAAGGTCGGTAAATGCTGATCGCATCGACTCTCATTGAAGAGCTGACATAGCCGAGCTAGACCGTTCCCAACTGGATTGCTGAGAGCGAATTCTCCCAGACCAGTTCGGCAGTAATTTCTCGACCACGTGGGGATGAGAGGTTTGGTGGGCCCGAAGTGTGATCGATCGAGCCTGCACCATGCTTGTGATAGCCAGCATCATTACCATTGTGCTAGGCGCTCCCTCAAAGTAAAGTAAACACAGCGAAGAAACTAGACAAGAACACTCAACTGAACTATACGGGAGCGCAGAGGGATGGAGGCTAAGCGTTCAGCAGCCACCTGACCCTAGAACAAGCGGCGCGGACGCGTCGCGTGCGTCTAAGCCCACGACGGGGAATGGGGGCGGGGTTGGCGCCTTGCTACCACGGTCAGATCATTGCTGGTGCTTGTCAGGCAGTAGTATCGGAAGTTGTAACGACACAAGTTTGTTAAGGAATTATAAGACGTATTATGTCACAAGCCAGGTAAGTCGTCGGCAGTGAATTCTAAGTTTTTTTATTTTGTAAGACTCGTCTTCACGTCTGCAGTGCGGATCCCAGCAGTTCTCACGTTCGATTTGTTCCCTCGCATACAACGCTCACGAAGGTCTTCCAATTTTTACGTGTGGCTTCGGTTGTTGTTTGAGGATTTTCATATCATCTTGAATGTCGCAGAATGCTGGTCGAGTCGATTCTCCCTTGAGTTCTGAGCCAGCCGTCCTGGAGCGTTCCTAATTGGATTGCAGAGAGTGATTTTTTTCCAAAACAAGTCCGGTGCAAGTTTCCCGACCCCGGAGGGATGAGAGGCTTGGTTGACCTAGAGCTGTAGCGAACTAGCACCATGCTCGTGATGACGGACATCACTACTACTGTGCTACCCGCCCGCTGAAGACCTAGGTAAAAGTCAAAACAAAGACCTAAGTAAAATTCGCTGGTTAGAATTTGCATGATGCGTCATGTAGGTAAGTGGTAAGAATTTTTCCTCGTAGAATTTTGTACACCTCTACTATACAGAGAGTACTCTTTATCACATAGAGGTTGCTCTCTGATTTATAGAGAGTATCCTCTGTTATAAAGAGACCAGCATCTACCTATTGTGCAACCTGTTATCTTGAGATATCAGAGATTCAGAACAACATGTGTTTAAATTGTTGAGCTTACACGAGGTTGATAAATTAACTTTATTCGGATAACGTTTCGACGTCTTCGTCTTCATCAGAGCCGATGATCCGAGTTCCACAGTTCTTCGTTTGCTCGATGTGGCGTCTTCATCGTCGTGTTGAGACAGATCTTCTTCACTGCAGCATTCAGAATTCAGAATCAATCGATCAATCAATTCAGAATCGTTCAGATTCGGAACATTCTTCCATTTGGAACGGCAACGGTATTTTTGTTCATTTGTTTATTTTACTCTGGAACCTCTATACAATTGTACTCACTGTACTCACCGCCAGTCCTCATTGGTCTGTTAGCTAAACTTTACATCATTCATCCACTGTATTCTCGATAAGCACACACGAGGTTATTGTCTCACTCTTTATTAACAAAAAAGGTGACACTTTGGCGGACTTCGCGCTCTTCAGAGCCTGGTAAGGTCAAGTCGGCTGCAATCTACCCGGTCAAGCACTATAACGAAACAGAGAAAGTATTAAACAAGGTTTCAATCACATTGAACACAAGATAGCTTCTTTGCATATTCAACGTTTACTATGAATCTTCCCCAGAGTATTCCACATTAGACAAATCGCACAGAGTTCAGATGGACGGGTAATGTACCTTTCTCCCATTACAATATCACTCTCAAACACTATGTGAGATCACTCGTGATAACGGGGCATCCCTCGCTGCAGTTCATTTTTGGATTTTTGGGACTTATCCAGTATCCTTCAAGAGTTTTGCGCGATGATCCGAGTATGGTTTTGTGTCACTACTCATAAATCGTTGAGATAGAGCACTTGTGTCGCTTGCTGCTCTATTAATTACTTAACAAATTGACTTTCTGCAAAGAATTTATCTACATCACTTGTTATCTGTCACCTGTCATCCCGTTCATCGTCGAGTGACTCAAACTGGCCGCCAGTAAATCCTCCATTTTTCGCTGTCACGTGCAAGAGTAGCCCAGTGGGTTCTACTCGCTTTAGGGACTTGTCGAGTATCGTATCTTTCTTCTAGGCTTTTCCTTAAGAACTCTGACCATCGGGTCGGTGGTCTTCCTGCAGTACGTTTGACATCCCGAGGAATCCAGTCACTAACGGCTCTTGTCCATCGGTTGTCATTCATACGCATTACGTGTCTGGCCCACCTTATCTTCGACTGTTTAGTGTATAGAGCGGCATCTTTGATTTTTGATATTGATTTTGATGATTTAAATGATGTCCTATCTAGCCCTGTTGCTGTTCGATTTTTCACCGACGAAATAACATGTCGGGTTTCGGAGGGTAAAACAGGTGATACGATAACACTATCCTTTATTATATATGAGGGAAGGGGGACATGGCTATTGAAGGCATCTGACTAGTAATCCTGAATAATTTTCTCCATTGCCTTTCTGGATACTATAACTGTTCTGTCTGGGCGTTGTACTGCAATCATCTTAATTTTACAATTGACGAGGCTTCGCTGCGCTTTGCTAATGATTCTCCCACCATCTTTAGCTTCAACCATAAATGGTGCTCTTCTCTCTTTAAGATCTTCTTTTATTGCCTGTCTGCATTGTTTCGCAAGTTCTGAGGTGAGTTGACGTTTGTCTGTAGCTTGTGTGATTCCACACTACCATATCAGCTGGAGTTTTTCTGAAGACAGACGTCTCTTGGTGACTTTCGAACTCTCAGCTTTTATGGCGCTAACATGAACAGGCCGAAGGAGCGATATTTCGTCGATGGTATGAAGAACGGCATCTTCCCAATAGCTGATTAATGAACTGAATAAGTCCCAGTTCATGGTGGTTTTGAAAATTCGTTTTTTCTAAATTTAGCAACTTTTTCACCTTTCCGCGAAGACGAGGTCTTGCACGATGAGGGCGATCCCGTGTAGGTTTTTGAGACAACAGAGACATCGGTTAGGCAGAATCTTCGACTTACTATGGTGTGGTTTATTTTGTTGTCGTATTCTCCACTGGGAGAGTCCCATGTGCAGCGTTGGTGGAGCTTCTAGAATTGCGAGTTACCATGGATGGTATTGGTCGTCATGGTAAACTCGGACAGTCATTGACCCTGCTCGTTCCATTCTAATTCGTGGGTCCTCTACTGTCGCATGTTCCGAGGAACAGTTCTTCTTCGATGTCATAGAAGGCGTTAAATGGGTGGTCTCATCTCGTCTTGGCCACTCCAATGACGTCATACCTTATCCGTCTTGCTTGCGTGATAAGTCTTCTATCGAGGACTATGATGCAAGAGTGCGTGCATTGTAGGTACAGATCGTCACCATAGTTCTTTGCAATCCAGGCATCTTCCATTGGTTCTGAGATTTTAGCAGCCTCTCCGTACGCGTCCTACCCAACGCTGTCAAATTGGGCGCTCTTTCGGGGTCAAGGGAATGAGGTCTATTTCTTTTACTGCTTTTAGCTTTTTGATACCTACGTATAGCAGCTTAGTGATCTATGAACCTTGAGGCTGGGTATACTCACGGGTAGCTTACCAGGCCCTCCCAGAGTGGATATGGAGCTTATTTGTTCAAGGTGACTCCTAACCACCTTCCATATACTTCGCTGTCACTTGATTGTAGGCTTTTAGCCGAATTGACTTGCAGAATATAGTCCGCATAAGCGAGAACGCACGTTCACACGCATGCATGAATAGGCGTTGTAAATACGGAAAGTATGTGCCAAATCCGCGTAGCAGAAACAGGGGGTCCATCTCCTGGATCCAACTGCGTCTCAGGTAAGCAAGGATCACTTTTGGTCCGCGATTAACCCCCTATCCGCTACCTCGCGACGCGCCACGTAGCCTCGCGACCGGCTCGAGATCACTCATACGAGGGGGATCCGTGATGAGGGAGATCCGTCATTTTTCTTATTATCATTAATCGCTCTCAATTAAAATGAAAATTGTCTTTAAAAACCTCGAACTTCGTTAGTTCCTCATACTTTTCGTACTCAGTTCCAGTGAAAGTTTTCATCCATAACTGATCAATTTTCATGAGATCACTAGATGAACGGGTCCCTCATAATCTCTTTCGTTTTGAGATGGAATAGATGAACGCGGTGCCCCATGTCATCTTTGAGCCATAGATTCAGCCAGGACTAAAGAGGTCCATCAAAACCAAGGCTTGCCGAAGGAATGTTGGAATGTTTCTCAGAACTGAAATGTTGTACATAGATACAGTAACCTAAACTAACGAAATAACTCTGCTATTTCGGGAAGTAATTGGTCATCTGGTGGCAAACAATTCACATCCAACCTTTTTCTGGTGTTAGTTTCAAGATAGCAAAAAGTTCTGTAGACTGATAACGGCGGCGATTGTATGTACAGAAGAAAAGGAACGTTTTAACCCAGCGACAAAATATTAGAACTTTTTAAGTGATCAAGTCGTTCTACCACTCTTCTCATCGGCTAATGACTTATCATACCTGATATAAGATTCAATGTTCTTCTTCAATAAGCAGACACGAGGTTGTTATTATAGAATTTATTATGATACAATAGCTGACCTTTCGGCGGTTTCGCCTTCTTCACCGCTTGGAAAGGTCAAATTGAGATGCGATCTATTCAGCCGAACACTTCAATAACCATGTGTACGTGTATTGTAGTTACAGAAATCCTGAAATCTCAGGGCCAATGGAAGCT